AATGTGAAAAATAGGAGTATCATTTGTGTACGATTGCAAAATGAGGGTATTCGAGAATTGCGTGTGGATCCTGGTCACGTGATGACAAATTCCCTTCCGCATCGCGCACTGCTTGGACATCGATGAAATAGAAGCATTTGCGATTGATTAAAGTTGTCTGGGCATTCTATTCGAGTACGACAGTCGTCGATGACACCGATCACTCCTGGAAATCCGACAATATCGAATAATTATCTTCGTACAACTATTCCGTTTTTCCTCCTAGGAATGTAATGAGCGATGCAAATGGGCAAGGGCTTGCGCCATTCCATTTCTAGGAATCGACGCCACATAAAATCGAAGGGTCAGCACAACATGCAAATCGAAAGGCTTTCACTATACTCTCTTTACTTTCGAGTCATATTAATTAATTACTCAGGGGATGGGTACTTGAACAAATCACGATTCATTGCACAGGAACAGTGTGTCTCATCTGTCGATGTAAAGTTAAGGGATCCCTTCCACGATCTTCGTTCCATTCGAGTTGAGCGCGAAGCAGGTCGACATCATACCCTGATCCCTTTCCAAATTGGTATCTCACGCAGAAGTTCTAATCGACATATTCTTGAAGGGGATTAAGCCCAGAACCTAAGTTTATTCCTCCCATGCGACGACGAGAGCACATCGTCGTTATCGAGTGGATCCATAAACAGAATCCATTGTGCTTCACAAGTACACTGCAGCGCTATACTCATCGAGATGGTACACGAACGCTGGCATAAATATCGGCAAAACATGCCCCATCCCTTCTCTGGAAACGACACCTTTTTCGGCTTCTGTTAGACATCGGTTAGACGATGGTTAAAGGAAGATAGCGTTCATGCAATCCATTTTTTGGCCTTAGACATCGGTTAACCGATGACTTTCGAAAAACACCGGGAAAACATCGTTCATGCAATCGGCCCAAAGTATCTTCTTGAAGAATGGTTCAAGAAATGCATGGTTTCCAGCAATTATTTTCATTCATCATGACAGTTAGAGTTCAAGTTGAAAAAGTGATATTTTCTCTTTTATAACGGACAGGAAAGTTGCTTTCATTGCTGCAAAATCAGTTAGAAAATTTATGGCTATGACTTTAAGCGTCATACGAACAGCAAGAATTTCACAAGAAATTTACAATGGAAAAATATTTTACGAGAAATCATCAAGCAATTGACGTTTTGTCGCAAAGTAACAAGTCATTCTGGTTGCCTCTTGTATTACTCTGTTAAAATAGGACAATAAAACTCCGGTATTCTATTTTTGAAGTTGCATGCGTTTACCTTGAAATTATCGAAAAGTTGAATAAATTCATGAAGTCATAAAGGATGATGGATTCCATTTGGGATAAGTCGAAGAGAAGTTCAGGAAAAACTACGATTTCCTTCATTCTAGAGGCTATGATGACATCCATGCTTAAGAACTTACTTCGAGTAGAATTTTTATGCTTTATTTATATGCCTGACTAAAATTCCTTTGCTTTGGGAAAATCACGAGTTCATGAACGCTGAAAAACCTCTGAAATCCTTCATTAATAGGACCGTCACATTTTCGATAGTTGTGGACTAAATATAAACTGATGAAGGTGAAGAGGGGTTTGCCCCAGAAGGCGAATTATTTTTCAATTTTCAGTTCCTCTTACGAAAGAACTGCGGCGATGGAAAATGAAAAGCTTTATGATACGCGTCTAGAATAATTGTCTTCTGTGGAGCCGAAACTTTAAGATACTACATGCTCTTTCGGTCAGAAAATCATACCACTCACATAACAAGTTTATTGGAAAACAAAAATCTCAAAACGTCAGCAGAGAAGGCTGAAATATGCGTCGTCAGATATACTCGACCTCGTGAAAAAAGGATATACGAGGTAGGTAGGGCTGGGCGATATGGATTTTTTAAGTATCGATTTCGCCGACATACAGTGAGGGACAAAACTGTTGCAGTGTTCGACACATTGCCAGTTTATGACTCATATCTCGAGTATGACGTATTCAATTTAGCTTAAATTTCAGTCAATCATACTCCTACTTCCTGGCTTTCGATTGGCGCTAGTCACATGTCAATTGGCCTCCTATTGTCGAAGTGGCTAAGTCTAAGTGGCTAAGTCTAAGTATTGTCTAAGTGTTCAAAGCGAACGAGGTCATTGCAACAGTTTTGTCCCTTTCACTCAGGCATACGAAAAAACGAATTTATTAATACTTTGTGTGCTTGCCTTTGGCCTTCAACACTGCCTGAACCCTTCTAGGCATGCTTTCAATCAAATCCAAGCATGTTTGGACTGGAATGGCGTCCCACTCAGTCTTGACCCGCTGCCAGAGCTCGTGGATGCTGACGTATTCTCGTACCTCGCCAGCCTCCGCTTCAAATGTTGCCACAAGTGCTCTATTGGGTTGAGGTCTGGCGACTGTGTTGGCCATTCTAGGACCTCGATTCCATGGTCCTGGAACCATTGGCGAGCCAGCCACGAGGTGTGTTTCGGATCATTGTCCTGCTGAAACACCACCTCTCCCACTTCGAGGCGGTAATGCGCCAGTGTCTGGAGCAATTTTTCCTCGAGGATGCTTGTATAGAGCCTGGCATCCATTCTTCCTTGGATTTGACAGCCAAACCCGACTCCTTTGGCCGTCATGCAGCCCCAAAACATCAGGCCACCTCCACCATACTTGCAGGTCTCCCTCACGTGCCGCTCTGCTAGGGCTTCGCCGGGCTGTTTCCATGTCCAATCACGCCCATCCGACCTCATAAGGTTGAATTTGTCTCGTCTGACCAAATTATGCATTTCCAGTCCTCTACAGTCCAGTGTTGGTGGCGGCGGGCGAATTCTAGCCGCTGTCGGATATGCCGCGGCTGGAGTTGCGGCTATTTTCGCTTCGTTGTTGCCCTCAGACCAGCTTCGTATCCCCACAAAAATTCCCCACGAGATTCTCCTGTGGGATTTTTCCTTTGTGGAGAACATCACTATTGGCAGTTCAACCGTCACAAGCAACTGACATGAGTACCTCTGCAGCAATATTGCTGACTTATGACCAGTGAAAGCCAATATAGATTTACAAAATAAAAGGAACATATGGTACGAGGTACAATACATGACATAGCTGGCATTCAGGAGCGATATTTATGCATGAAAATGGGGATTTATATCTCCAGTTTTTTTTTAATGAAACTAGATTTATTCAGATGGAAAGACACGTCTAGTTGAGTCACCAGTGATGAAACTGAAAATGATAAGGTAATAGACGCAATTCTGTCAGATTGGCTGATAACGCTCACAGGATAAAGAAATAAAATTACTGAAAAGCAACAGAACAGGCCTTGTAGAAAAAAGGCATATAGGACAAGAGAGAAGGTTGTCTTGCGTTCCCAGTCCTCGATGCTGAGCATTTGATACAGGTATATGATTGTGTGCCTTCTGACCTAGAACACATGAACGTACTACGTGAATAAGCTCATATGCCAACATATTCCCAGTGCACACTCAGGAGGAAATCCAAGGTATATTGAAGTTCCTGCCAAGAATATCACTGTTAGATCAAAAACCTGAACAATGCCCTAGTTTCGAAAAAGGAGGCTCTCACATGCCCATGAGTGTCTCCTAGTGCTTCCCTTAGTTTCTACTGCCTTTCGTTTAGGGCAGTTCCAAAATAATTGGGACAAAAGTGGTAAAAAAAATTGATTTACAAAACCGTCATCTATCTTACGTTTCCTGCACTGTATGGGTGTTACGCTTGGACCAAATAAACTCCATTAAACATTGATCACCTAAAGTGGGGTGGTTTTTCATTCCTGCTGCACCATTATATTTGCATGAATTAACACTTGCTTGGTGAATCTCGTTTTTTTGGCTAATATTCGTCAGTAACGATGGAAAACGCTCATAGTCAATTCATTTTTGAGCAAAAAAAAGTCATTTGGCATGAAAAATGGTGATGGTCTATGTCTTCTTTTCTGAAAATGTGGAAGCTTCAGGTCAAGCCAAACCATACAAAATTGGAAGGGAAGCAGCAGAACGAAAACCGTTGTCTGAACTGTCACGTCAGTAACGCGACATGAATGACTTTTTTTTAGTCCATGGGAGAAATTAGAAAATTATACAAAAATGAGTTTCAGCAAGCCAAGTTCGAGAAAACGCAAAGGTGATGACAGTGTGGAGTGTCGGGAATTTAATTCAGAGTGGGAAGACAAGTACATGTTCACTGTCGGAAAAGGAGGAAAGCCAGTGTGCCTGGTGTGTGGTTTCTCTGTGTCTGTGTTGAAAAAATACAACTTGGAACGGCACTACAACACGAATCACACAGGCCTGGATGCGAAGTATCCCATCGGCTCTGACCTCCGAAAGGACTATATCGCTAGGAANTGCAGAAGTCACATTAAAACAGATAGGCTTGAGCTGCAATAAATACCCACGAGTTTCCATAAAATATTCTCCTACAGTATTAGCGACTGCATGTGGCCCGCGATGACTGTGGGAGTGGGCTATGTGGTCCCCGAGCTGAAAAGGTTGGGCACCACTGCTCTATAAGGTACTGTTGAAGTGTAATTTCTGGACCAAACCATCTTTGAGATATAGCAGCATACAAGATTTCATTTTGAGTCTGGTATTACGTCAGTAACTTTGAAACAGCCCTTTATAGAATTTTTATGGTACCAAGGGGGATGTGAATTTTAAAAAAAGTGAGCGGATACTTGACTTTTCCTGTATGACGACTTGGAATGCCATAAATTCAATAGTTTTGGAATTCTGCCTAGCGAGAACCTTTGCTGAGGTATGAAAAAGTGTTTTGCGACAAGATATGCAATTGTTGAAGTGATGGTAGAGGTCCTATTCGTGCAATTTCAGTGCGATATATCAGGACATGCAATATTTCTCATATTATGTGTGGTCCATTCGAAAAGAAAAATAACTATGGCTCGTTGCCATTTCAGATCGAAAGATGAGTGAAAGTTGGACTGATCATAATATTTGTGATTTTATTATGACACAAACGGGAAATGAATGAAAGTGAAAACATATCACCACGAAAAATATACACTGGGGAAACAGAATTATATGCCAGTGAACTCATCGAGCTGGGATGATATTCTCGCTCACTGAAAGACCAAAACAACACAACCAAAAAATAACAATACTTCAATTGAAAGAGGCCGAAAGTTGTGGTGATTCTTAACGCGCGAGGCCTATGATGCTATGATATTCTAGGCCGTGAGCCAGGCCATCCAGGGTCCAAAACGCCAGGCCTACAAGGATCTGCCATTCTAGTCCATAGGTTAGGCCATAAAAGCTAAGATTTTATTGTTTGGTTTGAACTGATCTGCTTCATATCTTTACGTAAACATTTTTCAAATTCCCACCCAGACGGCCAGCGTAACGGCCGTAGGCCGCTAGAAGACTCTTAAGCAAAAAATACATAGGGCAATGAGAAAAAGAATGAATCAGACAACTCCGGGTATGAGCCTGTAGGGGACAATCCTGCAGTACTTTTCGTAAGCATGACCGTATTTCATCATGCACTTGTATTCATCCCTCGTCAGCCTATGAATGTGGAGAGAGCCCATTATTATGTTATACAAAAAGGGCCAGATCCCGTAGTGATAACCGACCATATTGGTGCACAGGCCGATCGTGATGTCGAAGGTGTAGTTTATGTGCCTGACTTTGCCCCAATAGCCGGAAATGAGTAATTTGCTTTTCTTTTTCCCCTCCGACGTCTCGTACTCCGCCTCAATGTATTTCGGGGGCTTTCCCCAAACTAAGCATTTGCCATCGGTACGTCGGAATTCCGTCTTTTGGTGATCTACCTGATATTCCAGAATGATGAACACGATCCCCATGACAAAAAGCAGCCAAGCTGTGAAATTGGATACGAGTGGGGGATGAGCTACCATGAAAAAAGTTGAGAACAAACACAGTCCAGGGATGGAAATTGGGCTTGCTCCACATAAATAATAACCAGCCCTATCCAAAGTATTATCCAATGTTTGAGTCATGTACTCCCATTCCCAAAAATAGAATTTGACTGTGTAGATTGTCTGCAGGATGAAGTTCACCGTGAAACCCGCGTTATATCCCCATTTGTCTAGGCTCACAAAGTAACACGAAAGAGGCACGATGGACCAATAGGTCATTCCAACGCGAGCGACGGTATACTGCTTAGCGTCGAATCCAAATATGTGAGGGTGCAGTTCTATGCCTCGATAGAATTCGTGTATCAAGGGATAGGGAGCGATTTTCTCATCATAGTCACGAGCCACTTTTCCTTTGATAAAAAGTAGTACAGCAATGGTTAACCCGCACCAATGGGAGGCCGCTACAATCTGTGCAAAGTTCTCGTAGAACCACCATGAAAGCTTTGGATACGGAATGTGAAGGAGAATGTAGGAAGCTGTGGTGATGAAGTAAAACCGGAACCCACCGCCAGTGTACTCAGGGATTTGGCCATAATCCGTGACAGGGCCGTACACTTTGCCACCAATGTACATCCACAAGAAGCACCAGATGAATAGAATACCGACAAATTTCCAGGCAAATGCATTTCCCATCATGACACATGGGTCGAACGGTCCTCGATCAGGTCCCTTCCCATACCAGAGACAATAGAAAGTTATGATGATGTTCCCACCCATCATTAGCACCGGTACCGCATAATATCGGAAGATATAATGGAGCCCTTTCTCTGGGGCTGGCAGGACTGTCATCTTGAGATTTGAATAGGTGGACAACACATGAAATGGGCTGGGTCTGCCTGGAAATCGAAGAAAAGGGTACTTAAAATAATTAGTTAAATATAAGGTGCCTTTTTTTGTGCAGGATTTAGAAGCTTGACAGTTCTAAGTTCGAAGAGCAACAACTGTGAATCTTAATGGGAAGGTAAAGGATAACTGATGCCACCACAGTTGATAGGAAGAAACGGAGGCGAGAGCTTTGGCGGAAAAATAATCTGAAGCAAGACTGAATTACCATTTTGGAGTCCTACAGTGGGTCCCTTTCGAGCCCATTTTACCACTCTAATTAATTGACTTCAGATTGTGAGACTGTAAGACCTCTCGTGCCGTGGAGTAACAAAAACGAATGTGATGATCCGTGGACGGCGAGACCCCAAAGTCTCCCCAGAGTCCCAAATTAGTCTGTGGCTACGACCGCTTCTTTACTGCAAATTGGTGCATACGTTTACATTTTTATGACCAACAAGAAGGCAAATATTTGCTGCACTTCCTTTATTTTTATTAATCGGGGGTCCCTGGAGGGGCTCTAGGAAAGAGGTTCAAAACCACGGCCACAAGTCGCGAACTACTCTTGGGTCAATGTGAAGTTTTGGTTCGGGTCGCCTTGGATCCATGCAGAAAACAAAGCATGTTTATTATTTATTTATTTTTGTTTTTGCTCTTCATATTGTTTTTTCGACCTCTATGTTTTTAAAATTATCTGTTGATTGATTCTAATGGATCACGGAGTCTTTAATCAGCAATAAATGGGATGTTCGGTGAAAAAGATTGGAAATCATTGCTCTCGGACGTACGCGAAACCATGCTCGGAAATAAAAAAGTTAATAACGGGATAATAATAAAATTAATGGAAAAAGGGAGAACATCTATGGGAAATCCTTGTGGGTATGACAGGATATACAATCTAAAATAGTGCGTCCTCACAGATATTCGTCTTTTCTCCTATCATACTCGTACTCATGGCCAACAGGAGTTAATCCATGTCCATGCACACATGAAATTGTTCGAATAAGTCCAAGCCACTGCCATTTAAATGCTTAGCCTTCGAAATGTTGCTGGCATGAAATGACGTTTTGCTGCTTAAGAGCTATTCGCTAAAGTAGTGAAAAGGCATAATCCAAGAAAAAGGCTAAAGTTTGATAGTTTCGCTATTTTGTCCAGTACACTCTTAGAAAATTCCGACCGTTTGGGGAGTAAAAAGTGAGCACACCGTGGGCTTTTCGAATTTACTCTCTTATTACTCACCAAATGCTCCTTCATCGCTCGTATTGAAGTTGACCTTGAAGTTCTTCGCCAGGCCTCTAGATGGAGGTAAGGGTCTCGCTTTTCGCACAGCACACAAAAGTTTCCTTCCCTGGAATCGTCCCTCGCAGGATTGTTTCTCCTGCTGGGCTTTGACAGGCTTTGACAAGTTATAAGAAATGTCACCCCATTATGGGTCCATGTCGACTGGTCCTTTCTGGGACTGGACGAGCTGTACTTCGTTAAGTGGTGGTGTGGGTGGGGGTTGCTTTATTTGTTCAATGCTCAAACACCTACAATTTTTGTTTCAAAATGTAATTCTTGCCCAGTTTTGACTCGAGGAGTTCTTTGGAAAAAGGGCGTCTGTGCAAACGATACAATTAGCGATTAGAGAAGGGCAAAAACTTCCCATAGCTAATCTGCAGCTGGTCAAACGTCAGTTTTCTGTCAAATGGTATCCTATACCTTTTTCCAATTGAATTTGGGGGTTTAACAAATTTATTCATCTCACATTGCTGGGATGCAGGCCGGAAGTCTTCATGCACATACGCTCTTTTTCCATATCCTTGAACTTGCTGCTTGAACTTTTTTCAACCAGTCTCACCAAATCTTTCCTGTTAAAAATCATACTTTACCAATAAATGCATTTACAGATTAGAAATCAACTCTTACTCAAATAATGAAAATAAAAAATATTATATTCAGGACAAGTTTCGTTCACCAATGACTCATCAACGATAAATTCTTAATTAATTCATCATCTGAATCTCCAACTGATTCATGGATATTGCCAACTTCTCGCATCTTTCCAGAGGCTTGGATGACTGGGCCTCTTCCTTTCCCTTTCCTCCTGTTTGGTTTCTGCCTCATTCTCACTTTCGGTTCGAAAGAATGGAATTTTTTCACCAAAACCGTTTAGCAGTGCAGGTGCAGGTTCAATCCCCCCCATTCATGGAGAGGATTGAAATTGTCAAACAGTTGGCCTGCCATCTAGCGAAAGCATAGGAAAATGTGCTTCCCATTTGCTGAATACGCATCTTAACTACCTGCTGACCACCCTATCCTATGACAAGTTGCATTAAGCAGCGCATGGACACGGATATGGAAAAAATGGCGTATGGATGGGTACTTACGCCCTCTTTCCAGAGAACTCCTCAATTGCACAATCCACTTCAGAACTGCACATATCTCTTACAACTGCACATTAAAGTATGCCCTTGTAGGTGCTCCCGTTTTTCATTGATGCTTTGATTTTATCATTTGCCACGAGACGATAGGCACACGAGAGATTAGAAAATAGCGGTACCATTGGAGACATGCAAAATTGAACAACGATCTGTGATTCGTTTTCGTGGTCGAGAGTTTCAATACTTTCTAAGACTTGCCCAGATTTCAAGAAATTATTGACTAAATTTTCCGTGCAATTAAGAAACTCTGACTCCAGAAAAATGTGTCCCATGTCGCTTAGATCTCTAGATAAGTGGTAATTAAAAATTGCCTCTTTATTGACCTGGCGGTACATTTATCCTTAACTTAATAGCTTCTCTGCTAATTATACAAAGAAATGACTTAGAGCTCTTCTTGGAAGTTATATTTCTGCCAGTTTAAAAATATATATAATCAACCTTGGTGTTTTTGCGATATCTGATCTGATACTTGAATAAAAATGCTAGCTTTATAGCTGCAACACGTTTGCAAACAAAATATTCTTTGGATTTTAAGGAATTTAGAAATATTGACTGGTTTTTCCATTGTGAAAAAATCAACCAATATTTCTAAGAGAAAAAGATTGGTGGAAAATATCCCCAGGTTGCTAACACATTTGGCATTAATGAGACATTTTTAGGACATTCTTCTTTCAGGAATATTCACTAAATCAACGCTCGGTATCTGCTTATGTCTATGGGAAATTTAGTTTCAATTAGCCAGGAACTAATAAAATATTCTCCAAAAAAAAGCTTTCCAAAGATGCCACAAAATAGCGCACATAGCTCCCAGAAAAGATGTCGCTCCAAAAAAGCTTTCAGCGAACTGGTACCAATTATTAATGTCAGGAAGGATGGATGAATTTGTTAAATTTTGGTCTCAACATGGAATTAGAACTAAAAAAGAACTAGTTTGAAAGACTGGAATTTTTTTGCATTATACCAAATACGACATTTTATCCAACATTACTGGTCATTCAGTAAGAGTTGACACTTTCTTCCCTGGGGTTTGAATGACTTATACCCATCATATGACAGGTATGGGATTGAAAATGTAAAATGAAAAAAGTGTCTAATTATGTTTGAAGAGGGCATTCAAATACTGTAAAATATCTCCAATTTGGAACAGCGAAAGTTGACTCGATATACGGTATGAAGCTGGTGGACATTCTTCTTAAGACTTCTTGGACATTACTTCTTAATCCATACTTGGTTGACATATTGAGCTCATAAGTACCAAAAGGGGTAATGATCAGACTAATCCCAAATGACTTTAAGGTACTACGAGAACATAAAAATCGACCCAACTGAATCAAAATTCCGCTCTATAATTGTTGTAAGGGACCTCAAGAAAGGGCCTTGGATCCGATTGCTGGCTCGCTCAGGTCACCCCCGGGGCCATGATCTGTAGTCAAAGGTCAAAATTTGCATGCTTCTCTTTGAAAATCTCGATCTCCCCAACCGTTGGTCGCAGAAACGTCAAATTTGCACCATTCTCCTTGAGACGTACAGCGCTATATGGAAAAAATAAATACTCTTATGCAACTGTCGTTCCCGAGACGCCATGACGCTATAACTGAGAACTTTTCTGTTTTCGGATTCTGTTTTTTCGTTCTCATTCCTCGTAGAAATTTTCTATCGGCAAAAGCATGCCCCAGTTTTTGGAGGCTAATATGGTCCACCTTTTTGCGGAGTTGCGCATGGTTTCCTCCTACCGTTCCCCCTCAGTGTTCGGTGATCCGCCTGAAGAATCCCCTTTTTTGGAAGGGACGTGACGTTGACGGACACTACTCGAAAATGAGGCTGAATTTCAAAAATTCCTCTGGTAGATCTCTTTAAAAGTCTCTTGGCTAGCTTAATATACATTTTCATGAGAATCCGTCCACTATCCTAGAAGCCTATCGATTTTTCCTACGGCCTCTTTTGACAATTTAGGTCATTTCTTCCATTCCGGGTCAATTTTCTCTTCTCACCGGCGAAGAATTCAGGATTTTTTTGCGCCTCTCCCATAGAGGGATGTTTCACGGATCCAATAACACCAAGATTGCTTACTGTCTCCAAAGGGATAGAGAATGCGAGGCTTTAATTACCGATTTGCATGAAAACTTGAATGCTCGCGAGCAGCTCTTCCCTCTTTGACTTCCCTCCCGCTTCGCACAGACTTGTGCGTGCTCTTGATTGTGTGTGTCTGTGTGAGTGAAACGGGGAAAGAGGACCGACGCGACTTCAACTGGCGCCTATCGCTTTTGATTTTTTTCCCCTTGTACCTAT